TTAGACAGTTTAAATAAAGAATGCCATATATACATACAAATATATTAAAATTGTATTTATGATTTTAATATATTTGTTTTTGTCCCTCNTACGTCAACAGAATGTACACTAAGAAGGGATTTTTTGATATTCCCCCGTGGGGGAGAGAGACAGGATTAAGGCTTACTCTGAAAAACTTGGTTTCTATTATAATATTTTAGATGCGGGTTTTTGCGTTTTTGATTGCATTTTAATAGGATACGTCAACAGAATGTACACTAAGAAGGGATTTTTTGATATTCTCCCCGCGGGGGAGAGAGACAGGATTAAGGCTTACTCTGAAAAACTTGGCTTCTATTATACTATTTTAGATGCGGATTTTTGCATTTTTGATTGCGTTTTAATAGGGTACGTCAACAGAATGTACACTAAGAAAAAATTTTTAGAAAAATTTTTCCCCACTGGGGAAGTGTTATACATTTATAATAGATACATTTTGAGCCACAACAAGGCGTGGCGGGGTCTGCTAGTATTTTAATATTCTCTGAAATAAGCAATTATTTATTTATATATTAGAGCTATCTCAAGTTAAGATGCAGGTAATTCTTACTTATTTTTATCCATTATATCAGTCATGCAATTACTGTAATACATTTCTACTGATTCTATTTCTGATATTACAACAAATTACTCTTTCTAAGGGGAGGGATGAATCAGGTGAGAGATGATACTACTAATCAGCACTTATTTTTAGGTAATACTGAGTTAAGATAAATGACTCAATCTACAAAAGAGTAAATATATGCAATTCGGTTAAAATGTATGACCGAGACACTTTCACAACAAAGTGCTGAAAGACGACGAACTCGATTTCTTCAAACTGGGAATTAAGTCGATTCCGAACCGATTGAAGATTGGTGGAAATACTATTGTTGTATTTTGTGAAATTAATGCTTCGATAATGATGAAGGGAACAGAAATTTGAGACACTAACTGTTAGGTCCATTCTGTGAATTCACGTTAAATAATTTTAGGCTGAACTTTCTAAAGAAAAATAGAAACTTCCAAAAAGGGAATGTGATAAATATCATTGGATTAAAAAAAAAAAACAATGAGTAAAAAACAACAAGGTGAGTAAGACCAATAGAACAAAGCAGCACACACAAATGATACAGGAAACTCTCCTCTGCCAGCCGAATCTCTATCTTTAATAAGCAGTTTCAAAATAGAAGCAGAACTTCTACTCGTTACAATGTAACATTCATTCAAAGGATTGATGTTACATAAGGTAACTGTTTCAACTTAAACCTGCATTTTTGTTTTTTGTTTATGCCCGAAACAATTTCTTTAAAGGTCTAGCACAATTCTGGCGAGTCTCTTTAGCTCATTCTCTCTATCGTCTAACAAGATATACGAGTAAAAAATACGCCAAATGTTTAAGAAGAACCATATCAAAATAATACTACAAATTGGATAAGAGTTTAAATGCTTTGCCGTTTTGTAGGTAGTAAAATACAGATTTGTAAATGTTAAGACTTTGTTATTCTAATTGTAACTTTATATCTAATTTGATTTTATTTATTTATCTTTAAATCTTTCAACAACCCCTTTTCGTGCCTATAATGATAATGGTCCTGTGTCGGTACTCATATGTTGATGTAATATTTTAACAAACGTGCGACAATTGCTTTTACCTAAAGAAACTCTCTTCGTCTTTTCATTTCCCAAATCAAATTGCATCGATAGACATGTTGTCAATTCTTAAATATCACTTGAATGTATCTTTTATTTATATTTTTACGCTTTAATAATTAAATGTAAGAAGTTAATATCAGACAAATAGTATTTCAAAGTCCATGTCAAATTGCTTATAATACTAGATGTACATACTGTTGGACTGATGAAAACATTTTTTTAAAACTCAAGTACTTTCAATGATACAAAATAATCATTATTGGAATAATAAATGTAGAACAGAATTTCACTACGTGCAATAGGTCTATAACATTCTCAAAATTTAATAGGAAGTTAACAGCGACATTAATTCACTCTTGTCAGCTCACAAAGGATGTTCACAATAATGCAAAAGCACTCAAACACATTATTTCTAACTTTTTATAATTTTCCTTCGTTAAAGCAGCAGGGCAGTTTTTTAATCATTAAAAAATCTGATAATGTAACCTGTTTTAGTAGCGACATAAAAATAGTCAATAAAGCATCTGAAATATTTTTCTGTACTTTCTTCTGATGTGTGTACTGCACTGTTTCTTGTTTGAGACCGAGAAAAAACCAAAATAAGTAATGTGCAGAGTACAAACTGATAAACAGAAGTATTAAATGTACTACAGTGTAGTAGTTTAAGAAAATATAGTTAATATAGTGTTATATTTATAATATTGAAATATCATTTTCAAGTGTCGTAATTATATTTTTCAGAACTAGGGCCAGCAAGAGATGGAGAGATGTCTGGACCATTTACGTTTTTGAGGCCCCGGTACTTTGAAAAAAATCCGACGAGCCGTGTAAATTTCCTGGCAAAATAATTTAAATTACATATGGCACCATCCGTTAAGCTTTTTCCCATTTTAGAAAATAAAATATCGTAACATTAGAGACGAGTTTTATAATAAAATCGTAAATGCTAATAACGAGTAGAATCTTCATTAAGTATGTCCTCGCTCGAGATACAACACACGATCCCCTTCTATCTCCCCTTTCCCTCGGCCTTAAACCGCTGAAATTTAATGGCATCGATCCCCTAATGCACAAACTTCTGTGCAAAATTTCACAAATTTTCGACAAAAGGCGTGGGAGTTATTAAGTTTCAAACTGGGCAAACAAAATTGTGCCTCACCTACACAAAGAAACAAACAAGAACATCCATACATATAGGAAAAAAATTCCCAATTTTCTTTTTGCATTTCTCAGTTTGAGGTCTTCAGAGTTCCAAAAATCACAAGAAACAACTATCAGCTATTGCCACAACCCCATTGCATATAAATTATTACATAATGAGAAAGATGATATAGATATATTGAAAGCACCAGGCATATACTGTATATACTGGCCTTATCACATGTGAGAGAGACCTCTCATCTGTGACAGGGATACAATATATACAAAGTATACAGGGATTTAGTATACTGGTCTAGTATACATTTGTTTCACTAATAGGTCACTAGCAAATAGTTTAGAAAATTATTGATAGCGATGAGATGATTGATCGGAATCGAAATATCTCATCGCAATTTCCGATTCTTAAAAATGATTCTTCCGCATTTTATAAGAAAATGAATTATTTGTTTCAGTCAAAGATTAAAAATTTTTTCAGTTATGATATTAACACGTTAACTGCTATCCGACACGCTAGCAGTCATAGTTGTTAGGGCTGTTCAGAGCCCTAATTAGTACGATCGCCGGCGCGTCGGATAGCTTTGTTGACATGAAAGTTTCCAATAAACTAATATTTAATTGAGAATTAAATATTAGTTTATTGGAAACTTTCGTGTCAACAAAGCAGAGAGTATGCAATGTCCCAACATGAAGTGATGCCCGTTGTGATGGACTTTTCTTTTGTATAGTCAGAGCAATGAGAGATCAGTAGGTACTAATTATGGTTAATAATGAATGAATTCAAAAACATTTAACTCATGACAATGATATTTATTTTGCTTATTTCATCATTTGCCAAACCTAATTTCGTATTAAATACAATGGAGTTAAATCATTTACAAGATGTGCCCATTGTGAGAAGCACGAAAAAGTGCATTGCATCGGCCAACAAAGCAATTTCCAGAGATGGCAACTCTGCACGACACAATGAAATAGTTTGTAGAGTAAAAGGGAATTAACTTTAATTTCTTTTGGGGTAGTGTTGCAATATTAGCTTTATCTGAAATAAGAATACAAATTTATTTTGTAGTATTCAACAAAAGCATGCGTATCCACATATAAATGGAGAACTTTCACATTTCTTTCAAAAGATCGATTCTGGATTTCCCAATCATTTTCCATTCATATGCTCAATATTTATCAATTAATGAATGTACCGAGCTCTTAATGTAAATCATTAACTTTTTCTAAACTAAAATAAACTTTAGAAAGTATCAAAAAGAATTGGAATCAAGAAAAATTTTGGCATCATCTCATCACTAGATATAACATTAACAAAAACTCATCACCATCTTAGCTGCATTTTCCACAGAACTGGGAATAAAAGCAAATCTCGAAGAGTCGGAATTAATTTGTCATAACTTCGACAAGAACATGTCTTATCCTTAGAAACTGAAGATATTCAAAGAGACAAAAAAGGGGCACTTCCTCAATTTCATGGCGTGCGAAATGTTATCGGCAGCATGGCGATCGTTTTACGATAACTATCGGTTGATGCATAAACACGGTGGCCGGATACCAATGTAATATTACTTTTCAGAAGAATTAATATGATGTTTGGTTTGTTAATTTTAATATCTGTAAATGCCTTATGTTATTTTTGTTTAGACTCAAATGCTGGCCCTATAAAGTAGACTTAAAATGTTTATCAGTGTACTGAATTTTTGCTGGAAAATAAAAATAAGGTCGTTTGTTGTAATGACAGACCTTTTGCCTTTCTTGGGCCTCCACAACAGGGTCTAATCAAACTTATTCTGTATGAAAATGTACATAAACCAAGTTAATTTTTATATAGATATTCCCATATATTTGTTCACACATTATCCACTAATTTAATTAAAAATTTCCATTTGATAATAAACTACGGTAAAATTTTGACAAATTAGACATTGAATTAGGTCTTATGGCAAATAATAAGTGTTTAATAATTTTAGCCATTGTAATATATTCTCAACAAACATGCAAGATCATGCTACAATATAAAATGTTAAAAATGTTTTTTATTTTTTTTTTTAAATTAAATATATTTTTATTTTTACAACTCGCCAACATTTAAAAATAAATAAACAAACTTACATTCTTACATTTTCGAAAAACACAAAGAAGAGTATCAGAAAAAGCAAACTAACACTCACTATCTCTTGACCCCATAATTGTTTTCGGGGTGTGAGCAGTGTCGGGAGAAGCGATCATACCGACGTCTTTGGGAGAGTGCGGACCTAAATGACCTCCGCTCACGGGAATGAAACTACTCGGCGCTTCCGACTTTACTTTTGTCTGCTGCGAAATGTGCGGCGAGTGGATTGGACATGGATTTCCACTACCTGAAATTGAAAAATAAAATTACTTTAATATTTGCTTAAATATAAAAACAAATTTTCTAGAGCGCATGTGTTTTTAATTTTTCTAGTGTAGTAAAGGATCGTAAAATGGCATCCGATCAAACCTCGATTTAGCATTAACTTTTATTTGCCTCCGAGACTGGCACTAAATAGAACGCGGTGTTAAACCGAAATACCTCAAACAATAGGAATTACATGTAGCAATGAGGTCTACATGCAAGTTTGAATGTTACATGACATGGTAATAATGCCTTTTGTAATGCATAATTGTAATTTAATGCCGGAGAGTTCTTTATTTAATATTACGGTAAAGATCTGTTTGCAAATATTCATTGGTGCTTTACAAAGACGGCGCATCGAGATTTGACTATTTATTAAAATTTTCACATCCTTTTAATGAATTTTTTAGAATATATGCTTCTTTAACCCTTTAAGATCTTAAATCTTTCTCTGTATGTGGAGATGAAATCCCTCAAGGGAAACTTGTATAGCAAAATTTTGGCTAATTTCAGGGCTACATCTCGCAAAGAGTCACGTCAATTCCTTTCACCTTTTCAGCCCGTAGGTACGGTCTGTGGCTCTGGTAAGGTCCCAACTGCTTCATTCGGAACTGCATTTGTATCCTAGTCTTTCGTTGCAATCAACAACATTCTGATGACATTTTGAATGCAAAGTAAAAAATATATAATAGTAAAATTAATATTAAATGGAGTACGGTACAAATATAAAGATGAAAAAGAACGAAATCCCTGGCTCACTCGATTATCAAGAAAATTAAAAATATCTGTTTCATGTTGCATTGGTTAACCATTCTAATATGTCGAATGCTTCACTAGGTGTACACACAGTGAAACACCTGATGCATTAGAAACCTGTGATTCATTAATCATTGTTTTCTACTTGTATTGTAATAAACAAAACATGATACTAGCTCAATAGTGGGCCTATAGATCACTGGCAATCATTATTGTGTAAAAACTTTGTAATTTCTGGAATTAGTAATCTTTGAAGTCACGATTCACAAGAAAATTTTAATGTAACTGTCTCAATATAACGTGTGATAGATATAGAACAGTTAATAATAAAATTCTATATTTGGTTCTTTCACTTGTATGAAGAGAATTAAGTATTATCATTATCATTTGAAAACAATAACCTTAAATTTAGTTGTACGCCTTCCATAAAAATAATGTTACGTAAAAGAAATGTTAGTTACATCAAAGGAAATATAATTACTTTAAAATTAAATTAATAAAGTTCAAACATTTTTTTGATACATGGTTAATGGTTATAATAAAGTACAATTTTAGAATACACTAAACATTAACAATTATTGAAGGTCACGTTGCTATAAATGTCTGGCAAAAGTAGTGAAGATGAAGACTTACATCATTCGTTAATAATACGGGGTGTACAAAAAGTTACTGTGCAGTGGAAGAGGTTTAAGTAAAGTAAAGCAAATGACCAAAAATGTCCTTGGAAACCTCAGAATTCAAGAGTGGGAGGGCCAGATTCTGTGGAAAATTATACAATTGACAAAGAAGTCTTCTAAAAACTCTAGTTCAAAAACTGGGATGTACGTGAGCAAGCAGTAATGCTTGCTCACGTACATCCCGTATTGCGTATTGCATCACATACATCGTATTGCAATACATCACGTATTGCGAAATGGAAATGCGAGACGTACAACTTATGGGTCTCGAATGTAACAAATGTGCTGTTACAAATTTTTAAACTGCATAATAACTTTTCAGACACCCTGTATTATTCTACTAAAACTTTCAAGAGGAATCCGATGAGAGTAACCACAGCATTCTTTATCAGCACATAAGCTATATAACGTTTTTTAAAATTCATACCAAATGTCAATTATATCAAAAAGAAAGTACCATGTTCAATATCGCTGCCCCAAGAAGCTTGACTATGTAAACTAGCCGGACTGTGTCCATAATATCCACTGACGTCACCAGCCGACTTATCAACATCATCTTCAGGCGACGATATTCGACGTAACCTTTTATTGCGTGGTTCGGGAGAAGAACTGGCGGAACAGTGCTGCGAAGGATGCGTGCTGTGAGTGGGCACCGAAGTTATGGACCCTCCTTGTGCCGAACTCAGCACCCTGTGATCTGGCGGAGATGAATAATTATTACAATAGTAAGGGGGTGACTCCATCTTGATCAGATTGACAGGAGGCTGAGTACCATTGGAAGGCTGCATAATTGATGCTAAACAATTCAAAATATAATTTTTTATGATTAGTTATACATAGTAATAAATTTTTTTTCTTCGAAACAATTCGTGAAAATTTAGCATCTATTATTTAATAAAAATTGATAATCACTACATTAATTAAATCTTAATATATAATACAGACAGAACGGCAACAAATTAGTAGACAATTGGAAAACTTATAATTATATATTCTCAAACACACAAATGCAAAGCTTGTATTATAAAAATATGAGGTTTATTGTATAGATCAAAGTACTATTTATAAGATTTTAGACATTCTCCTCCTCGGTATAAGATTTTAGACATTCTCCTCCTCGGTGATCGGCTCTACGACATCTAAATGTGCTGTAGAGCAGAAAATTGAAAGACAAGACATACAAAATGTTTCATCAACATAAAACATTTTGATGTGTCCTATCTTTCATTATCATAACACATTTTGTTGTATTATATCTTTCGTAATTCAGGGGTATTTATAAGCAGGATGCAAAATATTATAGTAAATAGGATGCAACAATAATTGTTCCACCATTACATCCACAGCCAATATTTCTGTAGATATTGCATAATCAACATCATACGTTATTAACGACAGTGCATTTTAAATGACCTTTTCATCTTTCAATCCACAGTAATTAAATTTACAATGAATATATTCATAAAAGTTTATATATAAAGATTGAAGCATGTACAATTGAAGAGCAAGTTCTTAACTGTACAGCCAGTGAACAAGTTTTTGGTTCTTAAACTTTATATTAACTGAACTGAACTGTATATCATTGAAGAAATTTATCAATAACTGATGATCCTAATGAGTTGAATAAAAAAGCCTCTATTAACTGTCATTTTATCATCGAATCCTGTATTAAATGTGTAAAAAAAAACCCGATAATCTGTAAATTATCTCAACGTATTCTCATTTTAAAAAATATTAAGATTCCAATTCATCCACTAATTCAATGTAATGATACTGTCGGATTAACTGGTCCATAACTAGGCTAATTCTATATGTAAATATAAAGTAGTTTGGACTGAAGGTAGGTGACAGCCTACCTTTAATTCGAACTATTTTATACCTATATATTTAATTAGCGAGTTACAACCTGACAAATCCTGCGGGATTTCAAACTTAGTTTACCATGTAATTTGATGTATAAAATATTAAAAATAGTTACTTCTTATATATGTAAATTTGTAAGGATAAAACTGCTTTTTTGAGTTTACTGTCATTCGAGTAAGTGCTTTTGAGCAATGCACTCGAGCACCGATTGAAAGCACTCGAATATGCGCTTTTATATTGTAAAAGCTGTCTACGAAAGTAAGTGATGCTCTTGAAAATGAGCACCACGCACTTAAGGGTAGATAAGATTCTTGAACCTAAAAGAACAGTTTAATCTTTAGTTTAAACAGTTTACTTCTCTTTTACAATACATTAAAAAAGTAATATGAACTACCTATTTGTAAATATAGTTCTATCTATTAAATATAATGAAAATCAAACTTTCTGCAAGTTATGAAAAATCAGTTTATTTAATATTTCAATTTTAAAAATCCGCACGAAAAATGCAATCCAAAGGCTCGTTCAGATACATTCGGTAATTTACTCGAGTGGAAAGTAATTTAGAATGTACAGTGGGAAAAATGCAAAATTTAGTCGAATAGTTTAGTACATAATTTAATTCTATTTTTCTAATCAAGTAGCTGTCCTACCACCGTAAACAATCAAATATGTCTAGACGGAAATTTTTGGTCAATTTCATTAGTTTCTGTAGCATTATTCAGTGCCGTACGAATGCATCTACCTCCGTCTGTATTGAAGCTTGCTGCATGCACAAGTGTACTCAAGTCTGGGAACTTTTTATGTATTCGGTCCATCGACTGACTAGCTTCTCTCATATATGAAATTGCTAATTCATTAGAAGTCTATTTACTTAAATGTATTAAATGTTTTTTGAGCTTAATTCAGCTTATTTTCAAATACATACTTAAAATATCAATAGAACGTTAGAACATTTTTACTGGAAATTTGAAAAACATTCAAAAATGTTCTAATGTTCCATTGAATTTTTAAGTATCTATCTGATCATGAGCCTTATTAAGCCGAAAAACCACTTAACACATTTAAATAGAATGACCTCCATAATTAATTAGTCATTTTATATATGCATAAAGATAGACGAAGTTATATAAGTTCTCTTGTGCCCTGTACGAGATTTTGACTTGACGTTAACGAAGTTGGAAGAAAATAAAACTAATAATACTGTTTTAGAAATCAAAAACTCAAGCGGAACGATCGCCGTAATTAATCAGGCTATTAATATGCCATAATTAATAATTAAAAACTAAATAATTTGGCATTAGAGTTCGACATTAGGTGTCATCATTTAACAAATTATTATATTTATGAATTTATATAATTAATTTTGAACATTCTGAAAGAAAAGAACTAGTCCTGAGCAGGACTCGAACCGGCAGTCTGCAACCTCTGCTTACCAGTTATGCAATTAGACCCTGACCAAATCTTCAATTACAGATGTATTTAAATTTAGATATAATCATTCATGGTTACTTACATTATTAATTTAGATAAGACATGATACCTAATGTCAATCTCTATGCCAATTACTTAGTTTCTAATTATGAATTATGGCATATTAATAGCCCGATTAATTACAGCGATCGTTCAGCTTAGTATCAATATGTCGGGTTATGGGAAATCAATATATATCAAAAACTTAAACAGTTAAATACACAAAACTCATTTATCCAATTCTGTGTTAAAAAGTATAAGTGGAAGACCTTTAGAGAAGGTCGCGATCGCACTAGGAACAAAGCAAGTACGTTCAAAGCAAGATCTCAAGTGGGTTTACACTCGCAAGTAACTTGTATACGAATGCTCTACTTGTACACGTATAAGTAATTTGTATGTGCAAATGATGTTTTAAGTGTAAATGGTGTTTTAATTGACCAATCTGCAAAGGATTTCAGAAGTAGCATAAGAACTTTATTTATTTATAGTTATATTTGATTGCATTATTTTCCTTTTTATTTCTGTTACATTAAGTTTGGGGTTATTCCGTTAAATCTCAACACTTCCCAGTTTATTAGCTCATTTGCATAATTGTGTTAATATAATTTTGGAACTTCACTTCATGAAAGTATTTTTAATTTTTGATGAGCATTATTTTAATTAATAAATAAATTATTTATCTGTAAATACAAGTTGATGAGATTTTTACAATGTCGTAAGACTATGTAAATTAGTACAATGTCATTAAAGTATATAAATCAGGGCTGTGGAGTCGGAGTCGTGGAGTTTTGGTGTTTTAGCCGGAGTCGGAGTCGGTAGATTTTTATGCGACTCTACAGCCCTGGCAGGGCTGTGGAGTCGGAGTCGTGGAGTTTTGGTGTTTTAGCCGGAGTCGGAGTCGGTAGATTTTTACGTGACTCCACAGCCCTGGTATAAATGCTTTTAAAGCTAACAGTAGCATCATTTAGCTCAGCTGATCGGCAGAGAATATGAGCTTGGAGCTTTGTATTGTGAGTTTTTAAATTCTTAATTTTGGGAGAAGGGAAAAAACCCTTAATCATTTTTGTATTCTATTTTAATTATTGAATTTTGTATAGCAGTAATTATCAAAGTCTGAACTGGCAAGTAATTAGTTTTAGTAGTACTTTTTTCTTTAAAAACTCTAGTACAAGGATTGCCAGAAAATGTTTTTAATTCTTGCAAGTTTCTATGATATAAATCTTGGGCTTTAAGAGCTAATTTTGGATTAAGAAAAACAATTATATATTATTATCTTCCATTTATGTATCTCAAGTTAAACTTAAAAGTTTTTCTAAACTCACAATGTAAGTCAAGCTAATTTATACTAATGAATCAAAGCTGTAGATACAGTAAAATCTTGCTAATCAAAACTGTTAAATAAATCTGTCTACAGGTCCCTGGCACAGTACAGTATATAGCATTTTCCTTTTAATAGATCTCTAAGTCAATACTGCTAACCTTAACTTATTTTCCCATGTACTCTCCATCCTTTGATGGGTCGTTGATCTTTATTTTCTCATCTTGTCTGAATAGGGACATTTTAAGATAAACACTAAGGCTCTGCCATTACAACCTTGCATTGACATCCTTTTACTGACACTGTACATCAATGAAATTCTGATTGGGACTCAAGGGGGTGCCTCGAAAACCCATTAAAGTGTTCTTTTGTGTAGAATTTTGTAATTATTCTAAGAATAAATTCATGAGAAAAACTTAATAATTGGAAATATACATCCACAGGAAAATTTTAAAGTATTGAACTTGTTAACTCGGGACTTTTTTGGCCTTTTTAATTAAACTTTGACTCGACATGGTTTTACTCTAAGAGATGATTTAATATTTAGTTCATAAAGAAGTCTTTCGTTCATCGCACCATGTAATTTTGTTGATTCTCTTCCAAGAGAACAGTTGATTATTCCCCTTTTTTTGAATCTGAATATGTTTTTTTTCTCAAAACTGGAAGTGCAATTTAGAATATATTTTTTTCTTTTACTGGGAGCAAGTGTTTAATATCTGATAATTTGGAAATTGATAAAGATTCTACTCCTAGTATAGTCGGGTTAAACAAACATGCTTTGCCTAAATAAAGTTATTTAGTTGACTATTACTTTATTACTTTATTTTTCCAGTTAGTTGACTGGTTTGGTTTTGTTTTATGTAACAAGATGTTCTTATTCTCAAATCTTTTTTGAAGGGCTGCAATTTTAAAAAAATTATAGACTTATAAATCTCCACCATTATCCGTCTGTGTTTCCTTAATCTCAAGAATGCAGTTAGATAGACAAAATCAGAGACCAGATGTGTAAAACTTAGTGGCAGGAGGCCCCCGATTAACTCGTATATGAACTTTTGATGCAAATCCAAAGTCACATTAGTTCAATTCAAAAACTTTCCCCAGTAATGAGTTATAGACGATGATATGACTGTTGCTAACAGGAAAAT